CAATGACCAAAGTATTCTATTACGAAAGGAATGAAGTGGGGAACATGCTCCTGGAAGGAACAGTTGTTAAGAAGAATGCCATAACATCTCTCAAATGGCAATAAAAAAGATTTGACAAAACTTCATGCTGCAGATTTGACAGAACTTCTCCTTAGTGATAGATTCATATTCATCTGTTGGTGCTCACATACTCAATGTCCAAACGGTGGTAGTTCAATTATTGTCCCATTAAATATTTTTGGACTAGAATTGATCTAAATTTTCAAATTTCATTTCTGTTCAAATGCCAGATGATAATCAGTAACTCTATCAAATGAAACTATGCAAGAAAAGAGCAGCGCAGATAACAAGTTACAGATCCAAATCATATCACTACGGGAAGCAAATAGCAGTACCAATTTACCTTTTCCAGGAACAATCTTAATCTGAATGCATTGTCAATTGAGTTCACAAATATTAGAACTTTCTTTTGAATAAGCTCTAACTTCAGAAGGGAAAGGATATAAAGCATCTTATCCTTAGCACTGCATGAAATCTGTGGGCAAAAGATTGGGGGTAACTTAATCTGTGGTATTGAAATAAAAACACTAAAGCTACAGAAAATCAGCACAAGAACTGTAAATAGACACAGTCATTATTTAAGAATGGTCCCAAAAAAAGGGCTATGGACAGGGAACCATACTAACTTGTATACAATACCTGCTGGAGTCAACTATGGATTTACAGTTAGAATTTTCAAGTAATATTGTACAAACAGTGAGATCAACAAGCCTATGATGTAATGTAAAAGGGAAGCAGAAGATACTTACCCAAAATTGTTGCACATTTCTAGGGACCACGTCATCCTTTGCATGACCAACCTCGGTAAGAGTTAAAACAAAAGGGTTGTGCAGAAGTAGCTTTGTTAGTTTGTCGATATCAGGGCTGCAACAAATAAATTTTGATATTAGACAAATCATACAAAACCCAAACAGAAGTAAAGGTTAACTATATCAAAACTACTTTAGTTTGCAATGTTCTATGTCACCCGCAGGGGACCACCAACTCGGCTGTTGCGTGGTTGATGGTTAAAAAGAGGAGCAAAAATATAACGAAAGATCGTGCTGCAGTTGTTGGAGAATATTAAGCATTCATAGTAGGTCCTTTTTAAGATTTAAAATGAGACAGCATTTCCAATTTTGGAACATAAGAGAATGGGAATGGAAGAATTGGTTCAGAATAGGAACTAAAACCAAGAGCATGATTTTGAGATACATTTGTTGTGTTTTACAAGAGTGTTGTGCTCACAAGTGTGTTTATTTGTGTTGGATCTGACATGTGAGTAAAAGTATATTTGTTTATTTATACCCCTTGGAAGGTTGCTAGCCCCACATGTGACTAGAAATGTACTTGTTTATTTGTCATGTTGGTCCCACATGTGAACTCACCACCAACTCCAACCTTTATAAGTAGGAAAGGAAAGATATATTAAGCTACTAGCAAAATCACATCAAGAAATGGAACACCGAAAACCATGTTAAGCAGCAACCATCCAGTAAGGGTGTGTTTGGTTTCAGTCATCAACTGGAATGGCATGGGTCGGACCCGTTCCAAGGCCTAGTTCTTGTGTTTGGTATGTAGCTGGAACAGGAACCAACTCGTTCCCACCGAGGGAATATTCGGCCCATTATCCGGAATGCGCCGATACCTCCAAATCGGAGGAATCACGCGGAACCGGTTTGGGTCTCGCTCTAACCCCTCACTCCCGAGAAATCCTATCGCCTCTCCATCTTGCGCCGCTTCTCTCTCGATCTGAAGAGGAGCTGGTGCGGCGGCCGGGCGATTGGAGGGCGATGCCTGACCTGCGGGGGCGTTCAAGGACCCGTTCCTGCGGCAGCCGCGGCCTGATCTGCAGGAGGGCGTCACCGGCGGCCTGAT